CCTGCCTCTCTCTCTCTCTTCCTCTCTCTCCCTCCCTCTCCCTCTCCCTCTCCCTCTCCCTCTCCCTCTGCCTGCCTCTCTCTCTCTCTCTCTCTCTCTCTCTCTCTCTCTCTCTCTCTCTCTCTCTCTCTCTCTCTCTCTCTCTCTCTCTCTCTCTCTCTCTCTCTCTCTCTCTCCCGATGCCCACCCGGCCGTTGCCGCTGTCGTCAGCTTGTTCTACTGAAGCCAGAGGTCAGGATCACGCTATGCGCGGATTGCCGATTGACCCCTAGTCGGACGATGGCTGTGTGGCGTGCCGTCGTGTCGCTGTGTGCCCCGATGGCCGCAGCGGTGACCGTTCGGTCATCTCTGGACCGCCGAGGGGCGGAGAGGCGGCTGTCCGCTGTCCGGCCGCGCCCCGGTGACTGACCGCAGCCGCCGACCGCAGTCTCCGCCGCCGGCCAGCTGCGGTCAGCTCGGCCGCCGTGATGACTGAAAGTCCGCCGCGGCTGCCGTGCTGACGGAGCCGCACACGCCGCACGCCTGCTGGCGTGGACGACTGCTGCCCCGCCGCCAGTCGTGTGACCAGATCTTTGGCGCACGGCAGTGTGGGGCTTTCCAGAGGCAGATGCGCTGGCAGCGATGTTACTTATGACGGCTGGCTAGGATGTTTTGAACGACGATGGTAGCGGCGGGTGGGTGCCTGGACTGTTCAGCTTTGGTGGTATGCTAATTACTGTGTTGATGGTTTGGTATGGAGGTAAGCAATGCTGATGCGACATGCCATTGAGTATCTATGGCAACTGTACGCTGTGGAGTCGGAGCACTAAATGGGCTGGATGATTGAGTTTCTTTTTGTGATCCTATCCAACCCATCTTGACCTTCACAGCGGTCGAGCTCGGCCGGAGCGAACCCATCACCGCTCCAAGGCCTCCAAACAGCGGGATTCCAGCCAGCGTGACGGCGGCGGTGACTGGGAGATTGCGTCGGCCCGTTCTCCACACAGAGAGCCGCGCGGATGGATGCGCTGACTCGCGGCGCACAGTCGTCGGTTTATCTGTCCGCCTGGCTCCGACAGGCGCGCGGCAAAGCCGGCCGGGCCATTTCCTCTGTCCGGAAATGAAGAGTTTGACGCAGCTGTCAGGCTCCGTCGTGCCGCCGTCTGTGTGTCATCCCCGGAGGTGAAAACAGAAGCGTGCCGTTCAGTCACTCCGCTGCAGTCACCAGCTGGTGGCTCCCACTCCGCCGGCGTCTGCGTGGGCCGGCTCTAGAGCTCCACATTGGGTCGCGTCGCAGCGTATTTGCTCAGAAAACAGGCGGACAGCCTCCGGAAGGATGCCGCCGTCGGTGACGAGGAGACGCGCTGTCTGGGACGCTCTGTCGGCCGCGCCCGACTGTGTGTGGTGGATATCGACCGGCTCCGACTCCATTTGGCGCGGCTCAGAGCTGATTCAAAGACTTGAATCGTGATGTAGTGTGAAAGCTGTGATAAAGCGATCTTCACGGCGTGGGAATACAGGACAATGAACTGATCAGAGACACGTCACATGCTTTCTTTTGCTTCACTCGTGACTGCCAGCTGGGGTTCGTTGGCTTTCGATTGCAGCAGTGGAATCAACCCATCGACATGCGCTGGCTGAGTGAGCCAGTAATTGGCGTTAAGCCGTGATTTGCTGTATGTGTTTTTCACATTTCAATGTGTTTGAACTTATCCAACTTCGCTTGTCGTGAGTGCTCGTCACGACTATGTTCCTTGCGGTAAGCAGTGAATGTGTCAAAGTGCTCGCTGCTTTTTTGACCTATTCCGACTCCGCATCTGCTCTGAATGAGCCCACCTTTTCTCGCCACCATGAGCCGTCCTGGCTGGCTCTGACCCGGCTGCGACCCTGGCGGAACGGCGCCGCGAGCCTCAGCGCGGCCCATAAATCATGCCCGGCCCAGCGGGCGCTGAGGAATTGGCTCGGAGCAGTTCATCTCCCACCGGACGGCCGTGTCGCCGAGCTGTTCTCTGACGGCGGCGCGCCTTTGAGCCGCCGGCCGACGGCACGCCCCGAGATGTCCCGGCCGGGTGATGACAGCGCGCGCGGCGCTGCGGCGTGGATGCTCGCCGCGCTGCGGTGCCGCAGCTCTGTGGTTCTGCGGTGCAGGTGTGGTGTTTGCTCTGTGGTGCTCGACGGGCGGGGCTGCGGTCGGCTTTGGAAGGCTGAAGGGCGGATGGGTGGCGAGGTGCAGGGTCGGGTGGCGCGGGGCGGTGTCGGGTAGCGATAGCGTTATCTTTGGACATCCGGTATCTGCGCTACAGCCCTCTGATGACAGCCTGTGCAGCGGGCGGGGTAAAAATAACCGGGGACGGAACACGTCGTCGGAAAGCCAACACGGCAGCGCCGCGCTGGCGGCGCCTGTTGTGATTTCTTGCCATGACACTCTGTCATGCTCTCGTAATTGCATGAACTGCAGAGTTACGGCAGCGCTGTCGGCCGGCTCTGTCAGCTGCCGACTGCTGCAGTTCGGGGCCTGTAGCCGCTCTGTGGGCTGCACCAGCTCGGGTGGCGGCGGCTGGCAGGACCCTGCGGCCCGTCAGGACGCCACCGATGACGTGGTCGTGTGATTGAACGGCACGGAGTGTTTACCCGGCGCGGCTGCAGACGCCGCGCCGCCGAGCGACGGCCCGAGGGTCCGAGGGGGTGGGGAGAACTCCGCCGCTCGCGCCTGTTGTCCGGACTGTTTTTGGATCGGATGACGGCGGCTTACAGCGGAGAGAACACCCGTCCCTGTTTAACCAGCACCGACGTCGAGCCGCATTACAATCACAATACGCCCCCCGTCCTCCGCGCTGCAGGCACCCTCTGCCCGCGGCACGAGTGGCGTGCAAAATATTTACCGGCCGGCTGGCGCGGCAGGAGTGCGGCCTCTCCAGCGGCCCCGTCACATGTCCCCTGCTCGCTGGAGGGCCCTGAAGGGGAGTCGCGACATAGTTCGTTACGTGACTGAGCCCTTCATTGTGCCGCTTTGATGGCTTATTAAAGCAGTTGAGTGCGTTTTTGCTCTCCAGAATGGATCATTCCTGAAATGCTCATAATGCGAGTAAATGACGACCTGAGTGGAGGCCTAATTGTGTAGCCGCTTAGGGCGGGCACTTCCCTTTGAATGCACATTAATCGAATGCAATGATAGGGATGATGTCTTTGTCTCTTTGTATGATGCAGCCGTCTTTATTGAAAGCCCTAATCCTGGGCGTTTGTGTCTGTGTCTGTGCGTATTCCGAGTTTGTTGACGCGAGGTATGCCAGGACTTTAGTAATCTGTTCGCGTTGCGAAACGCTGGCGCACACACCGCGCTGTTGGCAGCGTTTGCAGTGGCCCTGCCTTTCGCTGGCGGCTGCCGCTGCCTCTGGTATCATCTGCACGTCATTGTGACGACAGAGAGACTCTTGGATGTTCAGTATACGGCCTGGAGGCAAAGGAAATGAATTACTTCCTCTATGACTGTCGGTCGGCATCACGGCGGGCTCCGCTTTCTCGCATCGGTGCGCGCTCCGAGCTTTTCCTCTGTTATTGTTAGTCGGCGCCGGCTGCGGCTGCAGGCACAGAGCAGCAGCCAAGCTCGCGCATCGCTGCCGCCCCCTCCGAGCTCAGCTGTCGTCAGCCGACATATCTAATGTTTGCTGTCCCCCGCTGTGGCGCAGTGATGTGTTGCTGGACATGGACTCGATGATGGCAGTCATTTCGGTCATCCCGATCGGCCATGTCTTTGTGGCGGCGCGGCGGAGAGGTCGGTCGGCCCAGCCGGGTCTGGTCTCCAGTGCAGCCATATCTCAGGCAGTTGGCAGCCAGCGAGCCGTGTCGGCCACCCAAACGAGGCTCGTGATGGGCCGCCGGCCGGCCATGCGCCGATTAGGCGGGCACAAACAGTAAACACTGGCGTCATCCGCGTGCCAAAGGCGGTAAGGAGGTCCCCAAGGAGAGCGGCCGGCCGGACCAGACCCTGCAGCTCTGTGCGCAGTTTCCCGCCGCGCAGGACCCGCTGCAGCTTTTCAGCGGTACCCGCCGCCCCAACTGGGATTCGCTCGTCGACTGGACCCCACTGCGCGTCTGTGTCGCACAGCGGGGTGGGGTGATGTTGATCCGCCCGTCTCGACGGGGGGCGTGTCGTAGGCCCGTATCTGATCCGCCTCCACCCCCGCTACGACACGGCCTCCTCCGCCCCAGCTACGACCGGGCCACCTCCGCCCTGCCGCAATGTCTACACCTCTGCCCGTGCCACAGCCCCACCACCTGCCCTGTCTCAATGTTCGTCACCTCCACCCTTGCAACAGTCTCCACCGACTTCTCCTCGATCACCCGGCTGCAGCCTCCGCCGTGGCTGGGAGAAGCTCTCTCCGGATGACTCAGAGGCCCTCCCCGTGGCGATCCTCTGAGCGGCCCCACGCACCGGCTCCCGGCCACCGCTGACCACGGTGCTCATATCCAGTGGGGTAATGCCCGGCTGCAGCCGGCGATCCTGGCTAGGCTCCGATCAATTGGGCAGATACGGCGGATACTGGGGATTGGGATGAGCTCTGGGGTGCCGGGGAAGGAAGGAATACGACCCGATCGCACAGCGACGGGTTCAGAATGCTGAAGGAGCGAGTGGGCCTATCGGTCGGTGTAATTGTCCCTTGTCATCCGGAAAGCGCGGTTGTCGGGGAAACGTAAGAGCGGCCATTTGTTTGACCCCTATCTGATTGCAGGCCTTGTGTAGGGTTCGATTTGGCTGATCTCCACGTTTTCAGTTTTGGTAGCTGTGTCTCCGCTATTGCCGCAGTCACTGCATATGTCCGCCTACGTGGTGCATCATTACTCACTGACTTCACTGGCATTTTTTGCAGCTTATTCATTTATTATGTTTCTAATTACACCCAGAGCAGCTACCCAAAACCCTTCTCCAACTGCATAACTCACTACGCCCCATCTGCTCTTACCCGTGTCTTACACCTCCACTCTGACCCGCACACCTGACATCCCCCGTCTTCTCTCGACAGAAAGTGGAGCTGCTGGAGCAGGTGGGGGAGGACTTTTGCGGCATGGACGTGAACACGCCGATCGGCGGCAGCCGGCCCGTCACCTCTGTGGCTGTGCTGACGTTTGACGCGCTCCTTACCTCCGTGGCCGCCACCACCACCGGCGACTTCAACGTCGTGTTCGCCGGCACCGCGGACGGACACCTGCGCAAGGTCAGTAGCGGGGGTCAGTAATCAGGGGTCACAGGGTCAGTGACCAGGGTCACCGCGAATGGACACCTGCACAAGTCAGTACCAAATGGAGGGCTGAACTCTACTGCCGCTACAGTTCGCGCGATGTCGGTACTTGAGGTCACTGGCCATAAGTCATGTCTCGAGGCTGGCTCCCCAAGTGCTAGGCTTATTTCTCTGAGACATTGCCCTCGATCAGACGGTCGATCTCTCACTCATCGTTCCACGCAACCGTGGAGCCTGACGATAAAGAACGAGACTTGAAAGATGCATGTGTAAAATCCGCAGCGGTGCAGTGATAGTATAGCTATCAGCAAGTTTAACCCTAACTCATTTCCATAGAGTTTAAAACTCGGCCTTCGCATAAACATAGATAAACCATTCTTGATGGTAGTCCCGTTGACAGTTTCCCTGGAAGTTTGAGCTTCTTGTGATGATGTTGTTTCCCGACGTTGCATAGCGCTATTGAAGTGTATCGTAAACAGACGTCTGCTGTACTGAGAATTGCGATATCCTCTAAAAGAGGCTGGGACGGAGCCTATGCTTTGGGTGAAGGGAGAGCGACTGAGCGTTGGCATATGGTGGGCGGATCAGGCAGAGCACTGTAGCGCCGGAGCGGCTTCGAGCGGCGGCTCTGGAATCGTATCGCTCGCTAGGTATATTTCCAGCCGTGTCGGTATAGGGGCCACGTTATGGCCACAATGAGATAGTGTCGCACGCCAGTTGAATCCACAGCACCAAATGTGGGCTGCCATTGAAGCCGGCCCCGGCTATAAATCGAGCTCAAATTGATCAGAGCCAAATTTAGGTCGGAGGACTGAGCCAGACCGCCTTGAAAATGAAGTTCAGGGTAGAGAGTCTGATATGTGAATGTCATGAAGGGTCTGTGATGGGAGGAGCGCGCAATATCTAGCCGTTATGTTGAAAATTTGAGAATGATTTGTCGATTGGTTCTTTACTAGGATGGTTTCTCCCGACCCGATGGATTCTGGGTAACCCGAATGTATAAGTAGAGAATTATTGTCGGTATTGGAGAAGCATCGGTCAATGAGTGCTTCGTTGCCTCGCTCTCATAACTATATCAAAAAGGTTAGAATTCCCCAGTTCTATCTCTGATCGAAGTGGTGACGCAACACGTCAGCTCAAGACCACTTACGTCGACCCTTCGGCGCCACACAATGCAGGTCATGGCCCCCGCGCCGCCTGCTGCCAATATTGACGTGTAGGGCCGGTGAGGGCGCCAATACCGCGTGTCACCCCTGTCACGGTCCCGCTCGGGTCAGCTCGGGGAATAGTGCGCCGCTGTCGAACCGCCGGCGCCCGGCGCCGCCCCGGGTTCGCCGAACCTGGCCTGAATAAGGCAGCGACACGACACGCCAGCGGCCGCCGCCAGATTGCTCCGGGCCGCCGGTCAACGGATGGCCTGCAGCGCTGCGAGTGACCCGGGGTCACGGGTCAACTGATGGGTCTGCAGACTGAGCGACTGGGGCCGCCAGTCAACTGATGGTCACCAGTACTGTGACTGAGACTGGTGGTCAACTGATGGCCTGCAGCGCCGTGGCCGAGGGTCAACTGATGGCCTGCAGTGCTGTGACTGAGACTGGTGGTCAACTGATGGCCTGCAGTGCTGTGACTGAGGCCGGTGATTAACGGATGGCCTGCAGTGGTGTGACTGAGACTGGTGGTCGACGGATGGCCTGCAGCGCCGTGGCCGAGGGTCAACTGATGGCCTGCAGTGCTGTGACTGAGACTGGTGGTCAACTGATGGCCTGCAGTGCTGTGACTGAGGCCGGTGATTAACGGATGGCCTGCAGTGGTGTGACTGAGACTGGTGGTCGACGGATGGCCTGCAGCGCCGTGGCCGAGGGTCAACGGATGGCCTGCAGTGCTGTGGCCGAGGGTCAACGGATGACAAGTGACGGGGCCGCTGGTCAACTGGGGATCTGCGGCGAGCGTCAGGAGCTAACTAATGTAAGTCGTGAAAGGCGGCGGTGTTTGTACCGGTATTTTCTGGGGAGTCATTTGCGGACGGAGCGAGTGGGTGGGCGCGGTAATACCGGTAATTGAGCACTCTCCCCACCCGCCGCTTCCTGAAATGTTGCAGACTCACAGCTCACTACCGAGCTATCAGCGGCGGTCTCATTTTAGGCTGAGGGCTCTGACCGCACACTGGACGAAATGGCAGGGCTGCAGAAAGGCTTCCTGTGGACTCTACCGCTGATGCCACCTCCATGAAGGTCCCTCGTTTACCGCCGCTGGAGTGCACCGGTCACCTCCTCCGCCCGTCTTTGTGTGCCCCCGGGCGGGCGCTGACCACCGCTCGGATGCTCCTCACGCCCGCCCGAAGTGGCTCGAGCAGGCCTCTTAGCATTCCGCCTCCGGCTAATGTGACCGGCTGTTTTCCCATTGAGAGGCCGTCGCCCGGCTCTGTACGTGTAAAGTGAGCGGCTCACAGGATGAAAAATTCATCAGCGCCGGCGGCCGCCGAGCGGCGGAGCGACGGGTGTCTCGCTGCCGGTGTGTGGGATGGTGGCGGTGGGGCAGAGCTGCGCCCTCCGTCCCCAGAGAGCTCCCAGCTCTGCTATTGAATCATCCGGACGGCGGCGGCGCGACGCAGAGTGTGTGTGCGTGAGGCCGCCCGCTGAGCCTGCTGATTACCGAGAGTGGTGCTTACGAACAAGTGGTGGTTCCACTCAAGTGTGGAACTACACAGAGTGGGTAATGTGTCCTATGGTGTGTATGGATCTGGAGCGGATAAGACACTGATGATTCAGCGGGCGGCGGGCGGCAGTGGTCTTTCCGCGTATACGGCGTGACGATCCCGTAATCCTGTGGTCATTGTCTGGTGCGTGTCGTGAGGAGACAATCAGGCGTCATCGATGACGGCACGATCCGACGCGGCGTGCTATCGCGGGCCTCTCGTGGAGAGTTGCCGTGATACCGCAACCGGTCACGTCATCTAGATTTTCAACGGTGCCCTCAGTGATACCGTTTTGTTGATTTTGCTCATTCCTCCTGCATTGCCCTGCCTTCTTAGAAATGCAAATGCCTTCCCGGTACTGGCCCGGAGCACTCCACTCTGGGCCTGGAGCCGTGTTTCTCCGAGCCGGACGCCGTCGGTGTGGACGAGCCTACCTGGAAAGGTCAGCGGCGCCGGCCGGGCCAATCTCATCAGGCTGAGACGTCCAGTGGCGGCCCGATCCGACAGAGAATGACCATCTCGGCCGAGTGGATGGACCGCCGCCGCCCCCGCCCCCGCCCCCGCCCCCGCCGCGGCTACCGGCGCCGCCCACCGCCCGCCGCCGCGGCCCACTCTGAAACTCGATCGACGCGTGGGCCGCCGCCACTGCATTCCAATCGAACGCGAGTGCCGCTCACTGGCGATGCACCGCTGGCGCGGGGTGTGGGGGCGGTGGTCCGCGCTCCGGCAGCTGGAGGTATATCTCCGGCCGGCCGGACACTCGGCCTAACGGGATCCCACGGCCATGGCCGGTTATTAGCTGAGCGGTGTGCCGCAGCTGCGAACACTGTTGCGGCCGCTCCGGCGGTGATTATAGCTGCTGGGGAGGGGGGGGGGGCTGGGACAGCTCGTTCGGTTGCCCTCCGGGCGCTAAGGGCGTCCCGCGCCACTGTCCTGCGCCCCGGGTCCGCGCAGGGGCACGCCAGGGCTACCATCGATCGGCCGGCCCGGTATCCAGCCTTTCTCCTTCCGCGCCGTCCGAGCCCGCCCCGGCGCCGCTTCCCCGGTGGAATTTACGACGGTTTAAGCCGAGTTTAAGGCGCATTCAGGCCTAGCAGCTGCCTGGAAGCGGTCGCCGGCACGGCTGGATGCAGCCTGTGCCGCCGCTACCCGGACCAACGACAATCGGCGTGCTCTGTGATATTTGTGGAGGGCTATTTTGGGCTGTTTGGGCACAGTGCGGTTGAGATTTTTGGCGTTCTCCGAGGTTTTTGAAGCGCAGATGCAGCAACAGGCCTGTTCAGGATCTGCCGTTACGGGTTCACTGATGCAAATCATCCTTGTAGTGCCAGAAAAAGCCGGCTGGCACGCCGACCGGCGTCCAGCGGCTGCCGTGCGGTCACGGCCGTGGGTTCGTGACGGCCGCGTCGGGCTCGTTTCCCGGCCGGTGCCGTGTCCGACTGTCTGTGTGTCTGTGTGCTCTCGTGGAGGCACGTCGCCGGAAGCGGAGGGCGGGGTCGCACCGTTCCACATGGCCTGCCGGGTCTCCAGCTGATCAAACACCCCGGCTCGGCTGTGTGCTGGACTCAGGACCCGCCGGCTTAACGCTGAGCGTGACCGAACCGCTCTCAGTACCGGTTCGCCTAATAGGATGCGTGCTCACTGCGCACACAGCCGCGCACGAACGCACACAGCCGCCGGCAGACGCATACCTGACCGGCGCGCCGGCGCATAGCATACATCCCGCGGTGCATACCGCCTCGCTGACCAGCGCCGTGTGCGCACTGCCGCCGGCTGTGTGCTCGGTCACCCCAGTCAGCGGCTGATTTTCATATGCTGTCGAAGGCTCCTTTTAACATTGCCGATTCAGGCTCAATCTGTGAGTACGAACTGCTGAGCTTAAGTCAACATACTCGATAAATAGCACCGGTTGAAGCCTATGGATAAGAGTTGAGAGTTGATTTTGGGATACGGGTTCTGCTAGCCCTGTAACTGTCGACACAGTCTTGCTCCGCACGGTCTCGCCGATCCTTCGTCTCTCAGACGCCCGCTCGCCGCCGGCGGCCGCGGGCCACTCCATATTTCGGTCGTTTGTCTCTTCTAACGGCCCCGGTGGCGTACTTGGTGCGCGCTACGGCCTATAGAGATGTTAACTGGGGCGTCTGTTGTGCGCCGCCGGCGCCGCACCGACCTGGGGCGACCGACCGGCCTCTCGCTGCCGTTAGGTAACCGGTAGGATATCGACCGGCAAATTGGTCCCTCCTGAGTCGCCGTCGGTGGTGCCGCAGCCCGGCGAATGGTG